ATCTTTGATTGAAAATCTTACACAATCCATATATATATATATATATATATATATATATATATATATATATATATATTATCGATATATCTTTCTCTACTTTAATTTGAAAAGTTGAACTTCATTTTTGTATCTTTCAAGCATTTCAGAAGATTGGAATAATGAGAATATGCCATACTTGCCTTTGAATGTTGAAACTAGATGCTCTAACATCTGGAAGGTCTCTTTTTTTTTTTTTCATTTTTTTCCTAATTGGGGAGAGGTGAAATTTAAGAAGCCAGGAGAGGACAAAGAGGCAAAAATCCGAACTTCTAACTTTTGAAATTTCAACCTTAACCTCTAAATCAAGACTCGAAAGGTCTTAAACTCCAAGAGTTAGATAATTGCCTTTTTTATAGTGTCATGAAGATTTTTTTTAGGGAAGTTATGAAGATTCACCATGATTTAAAACTAGATTACGTCTGTACCCTAATTATGGTCCTTCGGGTTTGTTTGGATAAAATATTATTTGAAATATTATTTGGAATAATTACTATATCACTTTTTGTGATGTGATGTATATAAGATAAAAATATGATTGACAATGTAAAAAGGTGAATTGAAAAATGTGTTTATGATGCAAGTCAGATATTATATTATTATTATTATTTAGAAAATTTTGCTATCCAAACAAGTTTTCTCAACTCAGCAGTGGGGTGCATGCTGCAGTCAAGGGGGTTGTCCCTTTTGAACTCCATGGCGTAAATCTGTACAACTGCACGTACCGTTCAATGGAAGTAGGCATATGGCATGTAAAATTATTGCAAAGTATTACAAACTGTTTGGGATGAGTTATAATACATTATTAACAACAATATTGTACATTCTTTAGAGCAATTGGACTGATGATTTTCTAGCTCCAAATCCATAGAGAATAGGGTCGGTTACACAAGCGCGTTCTTGACAATGGCATGCAATCCTCGTAAATCATCATGGCATGTATCTTTACAAAGAAAGCCAGATTTGTTGTCATTCAGCTTCTTATTTTATTGAGACTCTTAACCAACCTTCAAAGTTTTGTCGTGTTTTAGCACGAAAACAGTCTGATGATGAGAGACTCCATTTTCCTTGAACCTACTCATTAAATAACATACCTGAGAAGAGTTCCTGTGTGCTGTTCCAATTATGAGTCAAGCTGACCATGAGTTTGATCTGAGTTACCACACAAAAGAATCAACATTAACAAGCATGAGCTGATTAGAGCATGATAGTGATTGTAATCTTATACTAGCACTAGAAGTAAATCATAAATATCCTCCATGGATTGAAGGCTGAAAAAATGATGATATTAGTCTCTCTCGTGACCTAATTACTTTATTGCTACTCTGAGCAGAACTAGAAGCCATCAACATGATGTTAGCCAGAGAAACCAGGACTCAGATTTCCCCACAAAATATTTTCCTAAGCTATTACCTCAAGAACCTCTAATCTCTCTCTATATCCTTGTCTCTGCGGACTTCTCACCTGACTTCTTCAAGCTCACTAAAATACCATCAACCAACTTGTCTTTATTTTCCACGGCTTGGTCTTGAACGAACGAGTAACCCTTCAGTGATCTCTGCTTCTTACTCCATAGCCTTTGAATCTCCATTAGGCCCAAAAATGATAAATCCATGGGCCAAAAAATTGATAAACAAGTTGAGTATTATGGTTTCCATCTTCCCATGTTATTTTCAGATCTTTGTCATGTAGGCTGTAGCGCGACATTATTGCGAAAGAAAGTACAAGGATTTATGAGAGGACAACGCGCAAGTCATGTCAGACGCAGGAGCTGTGACAGCCGTCTGTACGTATAGAGCGTTGGCCTTTCCGATTTATTAGTAGTGGACCATTGGTAGGATGTGTCGGACGAAGGAAATCACATATCAAATTTGATTTGATTTGCGGCTGGAAGGCTAAGGAGGCTGCCGGCCCTGAAGCAAAATTAAATTGGTCCACAAAGATTGCCAAACTGCTTTTGCATTTCTTAATTTATTGCATTACATATTCTTTCTTCCCCAACAATTCTACAGCCCATCATCATCATTCCAATTTTAATTCAATAATCTTCGTACAAATTCGTGACATACCTTATGGCATTTCAATTCTCAAAATCTTATGGCATGCCTTACTTTATAATGGTGTTTATTTAAGTTCATAAACAGTCAATGGTATCAAAATCATAACTTGTATCGTACAATAGGATGCTCTTCGCATCATGATCAGAAGTTTAGCAATTAATCTTCGTCATGTCACAAGTAGTTTCAATTTCGCAGCTAGGGGTGAAATTGCAAAGCATTTGTTTAATCGGATGTTCGAACAAATTTAATTAATTAAATTTAATATGAATTCAGTTCGGTCAAATAGATTTCGATATGGTCTTGGTAAAAACAAAATTATGAGAGCGCTTAATTAGTTTGAAAGTAACTCGGAATTCTCGATATTTTATTTTAATTGAGATAGTGCGCACACACACACTATGTTACACATGTTCACTCCACGTTATTGTGGATATCGAATATTCTTAATTACCATTCTCTTTTATTCTTTTTTTTTCCATCATCTCTTCACTTTCCTTCGTTCTTTTTATTGATCACTTGCATTTTGTGGAATTATTTTTCATATGTCCAATTAGTTTGCTTTACTTGCTTTCCATATTTGTAATTATTTTCGTTAATATCAATTTCATCATATTTATGACTAACAATCTAACAGGGATTTATGCCTTTACAAATTGTTAATTATTTGGTTAAAAAACCTTTAAAAAGATTTGTTTTATCGTATGGCAATTTTTGGGGACCAATTAATTTTGCTTCAAGCCCCACATTTTCCTTGCTAAGTGTGTTGTGAGGTTACACATGGCCTTGTTGGTATTGTGCCTTTTTTATAGAAAAATTTTTACATTTTTCACAATAACATTTTTCAATTATCATTTTACCTAAAAAACATCAAATCGTTACATTATTTTTTTGCAAAAACTCCTAAAAATAGCAATACAAATGGAGCTCTTGCAGCCACAAATCAAATGAATTTTGACGTCATTTTTAGTGTGACTTCCTTCTTCTGACACGTATCCACTTTCTGTGGTTGGAACATCCCGCTATAGAAGATCCGGTCGGTCGTGGCCAATAATGGGATAGCATAGCTTTTTGCCCAATCACTTAAGCACGGCAAGTAGTGTTTTTTTTTTTTTTTTTTTTTTTTTAATTTTACTTTTAAATAGCAGCAATAAGTTATTAACGAAACATAATATGCTAGCTCTAATACTATGACGCTATTCCCGTTTCCTCTAGAGGATTTTTCAGCCAACAAACTCCTCCAACTGCCTTCCTCAAGTCTTTCTAGGGTTCTTTCTATTTGTTTCTGTAATACATTTTCTCACAAATTTTCAATCCTAGTATTTTCTCAGTGGAAGTATCTTTTTTTCTTAGTGAGAATTTTTGTTTTTTGTTTTTTAGTTTTTATTAGATTTAAGTTTATTCAAGTCTAAACTTTCTCGTAGGGCTTGAAAATCTGTCCGGAGAAGGCTTACAAATCATTTGCAACTACAACATTTATATGCATTTAATTATAAGAAAATTTGGAGCTTTCTAGTTTTTTTTTTTATTGGTTTCTCTGATTTGAAGGAAGTCACTTCTATTTGCATTTCCATTGCGTCTTTTTCATGTATTTTCTGCTATTTGTACAGCTTTTATGTGAATAAATAAAATTTTTTTCTTCGTTAAAATAAATGAAAGAAAATATGAAGGAGAAATTAATTGATCTAATTGACAATATGTCTTTATCAATAGATGCCTCCTCAGATATTCTCAAAAACTTCCATACTCTAACTATCATTATTTTTACACAATAGTATTTCTTTAACAATTACTAGCATTTCTATTTTGTAATTTGAACTACTTCCTTTCCATCTTTGGTACACTTATAGTTGCAATTATCTTATGTTAAATTCAATAACTTTCAACTACATGTTATGGTGAGAGATATTTGTTTGACATGATATAAACCTAAGAAGAAAAGAATTCAATTTGAAAACACACGTAAGACAATATATATAGGTCCATGTACATAACCAAAGACCAAAATTATATCAACTCAGTAAGCACATTTAATAATATTCCCTGGAGTCTTAAAATTAAGCATAAGTTAAACATTTTATCTGGAAATGTCTCCTAATAATCTTATATGTGAATGAAATAATTAGGCAGAGAACTGGGAAATGGAAAGACTTGAGCATATGCTCTTTTTCTGTGAAATTGCACAACAAATATGGTAAGTAGCACCAACCCAGTGGGATGGCCTAGGAAATAGAAGCAACCTCTGCCATTGATGAGGGGAGTTGATGGAAGAAAACGCATTGCTTTGAACTGTAAACCTGCGCAGATTTGCAAAGAAAGGAGGTTGTTCAAGTGTTAATTTAGTGGCCATGACACCACCTGGACGGTCGGACCATTCAGTACTGGCAGAGCCATGTTAAGTCAAGGGCGGAGCCATGTTAGAGATCAATAATTATTTCGTAATTTTTCAATTTAGCTCACATTTGCACTGACAATTTTGTAAAAATTTTATTTTGCTCTCGCATTGCCCCTTAGAGCATCTACAATGGTTTACACCCTTCACGGTGTAATCCACATGCCACATCAGCATTTCACTATCTCCTCTTTTTATTATACTCTCATCCACAATGGATTACACTCACAGAATATAATAGCATGGGTCCATATGCCACATTAGCATTCCACTATCTCCTCTTTTATTATACTCTCTTCCCTCTTTTATTTTAACAATGCACAACTCATAACCCATAATTAAATAAATTTATTATTTTAAAAATGGTTATTTTAAAAATAAATTATTGACGTGACACCTCAAACGTGAAAATATCGTAATAATCCATTATTCATTAATAATACCCTATCTACTTAATTTAACTCCATGACATAATATTAAAATTAAATAAAATACAAATAATAATATAACGAATACTAATTTTTATTATTATTGCCTCCAAATCGTTCCCAAATATGCTCGAACAAATCCGACAGAAGTTGATGATGTACTTCCCGATCACGTAGTTTCGCATTCCTCTGAAGATAATGGTGAAAATTTTCGACTTGAGTCACAGGGATCATTGGTTCTTCATCATCATCATCCCAGTTTTTTATTGCATCTCCCTCATCCTCGACAATCATATTATGCAATATGATGCATGTGTACACTATATCTTTCAATTTAGCTTTATGCCAAAATCGAGCTGGGCCACGTACAATTGCCCAACGAGATTGGACCATTCGCTCGACGTCTTTGTTTGCAGCCTCCTGTATTTGCTTAAATTTGATCCTCTTTGGATCTTTAGGAGATGTAAAACTTTTAACAAATGTTGTCCATTCTAGATATATGCCATCTGCTAGACAATATCCTTTGTTGTACTGTGTGCCCTTTACCATAAATTGAATATTAGGAGCATATCCGTGTAACACGTCATTAAATAGTGGAGATTGATTGAGTACATTAATGTCATTGTTAGACCCCGCGACGCCAAAAATGCATGCCATATCCACAAATCTGCTGATGCAATTGCTTCTAGCATTATTGTGGGAGATCCTTGATCACCCCGAGTAAATTGACCTTTCCATGCCACAAGACAATTCTTCCATTGCCAACGCATGCAGTCAATGCTACCAAGCATTCCGGGGAAACCATGGCGCTCAGAATGCAATTGAAGTAAACGTTCAACATCATTAGTATTAGGCCTTCTCAAGTATTGTGCCCCATAAATATCGATTACGCACCGACAAAATTGTGACAAACATTCGATTGCAGTGCATTCACCCATCCTTATGTACTCGTCCAATTGGTCAGCAGGTGCTCCATATGCTAACTGATGGATAGCTGCGGTGGTTTTTTGAAGTGGAGAAAGTCCTTTTTTGTCGGCTGCATTGACCCTCATTTGAAAAAACTCTGAATGATTTGTCATCGACTCCACAATTCGAAGGAATAATTCCCTTCTCATTCAAAATCGTCAGCGGAATATATGTGAAGGATACACTAGCTCGTCGGTGAAATAGTCATTAACAAGTCGAACATGTCCAACACCACGCTCTCGATTGTAATATCTTTGACTGTGTGGACGGATGTTACTACTTGAAGATGTATGTTGCATTTGCCATTGCTCCAACATCTTCATATTTTGATCATCAATGTCATCCATCATTTCATCGGCTAAAAACTTTTTAATTTCTTCTATAAGAGAGATATCAGGATATTAATACATTTTTTGAGTGTGTTGAGTATTTGGTGGCAATGTATTTCTAACGGCTAATTTTCCAATGGCTAGTCTTCTTACTTATTATAATGAATATATCAGTATAATGAATATATATAATATATATTTATATAATATATTTTATTATAATATTAGTATAATTATATAATATATTTATAATTATTTTTTACATATACATAATAAATTATATAAATATATATTACAATTATTTAATTAAGTATAATTATATTTATCTAATATAAATTATAAATTTATGAATATTATATTAATTTAAAATGATAAAATTTAAAATTTCGTTAGCTTGGTTTCGAATCCATGGCCGGATTTCATAGTTTGGTTTCGAATCCATGACTAGATTTCATAACCTAGTTTCAAATCCATGGCTGGATTTTATATGTTGGTTTCGAATCCATAGCTGGATTTCATAACTTGGTTTCAAATCCATGGCCGGATTTTATAGCTTGGTTTCGAATCCATGGTCAGATTTCATAGCTTGTGTCTAGTTACTCCATAAATGTACTACATAAGTGATTAATATGATACAACATGGTTTTTTCTGCATCTTATTGCACCGTATAGTAAAATAAAATTAAAAATAGACTAAGAAATATTACATTTGGCTTTTAGGATGGAGCACATTTGCTCATGAATTCGAAGCTGTTAATCGGTCATACGCGTGGTATCCTTGAGTAATATTTCATAATCACTTTGAAAATTATAACTTTCTAACTTATTTGCCAAGTTTTCCATAGCCTGCAAGTTTTCTTCTTTTTGCTGCATCAACACTTTTCGGATTTGATCAAATTCCTCACTCACATTTGATTTTGCCTTTTTCTTTCCCTTCTTTGATGCTTTTTGACCAGGTGGGTGAACTTCACGTGCTTCATTATCATTGATGTCAAAATTTGAATTCGTATTGGATGAATAAGTGTATGCCCCGCTTTCATCAGTTATTATCTTTTTTGAAGAACGTTGCATAGGAGTATTTACTTTCCACTTCGGATCATTTTTCAACAACACCCACACATGTTCATGTAAAAAATGCTTGTTATTATTCTGATGAAATAGCTCACGTGCGTGTTGCTTGATCTAGTCATCATTCCACCTGCTATGATGTTTGCCGACCAATCTGTTGTAATATTGGTTGAACTCATTAACCATCCGACTCAACCAATGCCAATGTGATTTCACTGCTTTATATTTTCGTGGTGGTCCAGATTTTCGATTCTCATTGAAGTAGTCGACGACTCGTTTCTAAAAACTTTTTTCATTTTGAGAGTTACCTACAACGCTGCAATTTGAAATTGTGAGCCAAGCACTTGCAAGAATCTTGTCATCATCCACACTCCATGGAACACATTTACGGTCAGATTCTTCCACCGCCTCATTTGTGAGATTTATATTTTCTACCTCACGTTGTGTTGAATACGGCAAAAATTGAGAATCCTAAATTGACTCTGTTGGTGTTGCATTATCTTGTTGACTGGCGAAATCAAAATCCTTCCTTATCTCCGACGGAGTCGTTGAGCCTCCATAACCCATACCAAGGTTATAATACCCCGGTGTATAGTGATTTCCCATAGAATGATTAAAATAATTAGGTGACGGATACATGGGAATTTGATATGGAAAATGTGGTGGATTTTGGAAATTTGATGGATGATTGGAATTGGGTAAATTTGGGTAATTTGGAATTGGAAATGGATAATTTGGCAAATTTGGATAATTTTGGTGGTTTTTGATTTTGTGAAGCAGATGGATTTTCTATATTTGGACTATTTAACATATTTCTAAAACTACTAAGATTCTCATCTATAATGATAAAATACTGAAATTTATAAAATTATGTAAAGAGATTGAAAATAATGAATAAGGGAGTAGGAGAGATAATGGAGTAGAAGATTGTGAGGTGAAATAAAAAAATTACCTTGTTTATTTATATGAAGTAAAATAAATTATTCGTTGCTAAAATATAGCCGTTGTAAAAAAAGGCCGTTGTAAAATGACTGGTTCCAAAAATGACCATTGTAAAATGTTTCAAAAAATGACCAAGTAAAATGCTGTCTCATTTTGGCTATTTGGATGTTTGCTGGTATTGTAATGCCGTTTGGATCTCAGAACATCTTCCATGGCATGCATCATCAGTATTGTGCATGTCAGATGACACGCAACATCAGTATTGTGCGTGTAATCTCCATGACACGGTCACGGTCTCCCAACCGTGTCATGGAGCGGTGTAATGGGGGCATTATACCCCCCATTATACATTGCTGTGGATGCTTCTTAAAACAGCTAACGTATTTGAAAAGTAGAATGTACCACCTAAATAACCAAGATGCCGCCGATCACAATAATTTGCATAGTGAGTTCTTGCTAGTAGTTATTTAGTGACTGCCAAGCCTTTGCTCATTATAAATACCGGGCCCCTCCACATTCCAAACATACTCAACCAGCTTCCTTGTGCTACATTCTGCTATCTTCTGCCACCACCACCACCCCCACTACTCCCAGAAAATGGAAAGCTTTTCTCCCACCTGGGCTGCATATGCACTCGCCTGGGTTACAACGGTGGTTATCGCCCATCTCTCGAAGCATTTCCATCAGCAAAAACTCAACCTCCCACCGGGTCCAAGGCAATGGCCTATAATTGGAAACTTAAACCTCATTGGCACCCTTCCTCATCGTTCACTCCATCAACTCTCCCTAACATATGGTCCCCTAATGCACCTTCAATTCGGCTCCTTCCCAGTTGTCGTTGGCTCCTCCGTGGAGATGGCCAAAGTTTTCCTCAAAACCATGGACGGCACATTTGCAGGGAGGCCTAAAACTGCAGCCGGAAAATATACCGCTTATGATTGCACCAACATGACTTGGTCCCCTTACGGACCATACTGGCGCCAGGCACGTAAGATTTTCCTTACGGAATTATTCAGTGCAAAAAGACTCGAATCATATGAACATATTCGGGTGGAAGAAATGAATTCGCTTCTGCTACAGCTATTCAAGTCATCAGGCAAGCCTGTCGTGTTGAAAGATTATCTTTCAACAGGAAGTTTGAACGTGATTAGCAGGATGGTCCTGGGGAAAACATACATTGATGAGTCTGAGAACTCAATTGTCACGCCCGAAGAATTCAGGCAAATGATGGACGAGGTGTTTTTGCTGACTGGTGTGTTTAACATTGGTGATTTCATACCTTGGATCGATTTCTTGGATTTGCAGGGGTATATCAAGAGGATGAAAATCTTGAGCAAGAAAGTTGATAGGTTTCTGGAGCATGTTCTCGATGAACATAATGCCCGGAGGAAGGACGAAACTGATTGTGTCAGCAAGGACATGGCGGACGTCCTTCTGGACCTTGCAGATGATCCCACTTTGGAGGTGAAGCTAGAGAGGCGTGGAGTCAAGGCATTGACTCTGGTATATGTTACTTACAAACTGCATAACGCATGCTGTCAACTTTTAAACGACTGAAAACTTGAGAGAAAATAGTCAGTGATCTTTTGAACTTGAGAGAAATCTTTTTAACTAATTTTTTAAAATTACGTTTTCATTCAGATATCACATTCGGAACATTGAAACATAAATAAGTTTAAGAACTTCAATGATTGGACTAAGTTTCTTGCTGCACTTTGCGTAATGATTGAACTCTAGGACCTACTTGCTGGTGGAACCGAGACCTCAGCGACTACAATAGAATGGGCCATTTCGGAGCTACTGAAAAACCCAGAAATATTCAACAAGGCAGCCGAAGAACTCGACCGTGTTATCGGTCAGAATCGATGGGTGAACGAGAAGGACATGCCAAATCTTCCTTACATAGAGGCTGTTATTAAAGAAACAATGCGTATGCATCCCGTGGTCCCATTGCTAGTGCCAAGATGTGCTCGCGAAGATTGCAAAGTTGCAGGGTACGATATTCAAAGGGGAACTCGAGTCATCGTCAACGTTTGGTCAATTGTGAGGGACCCTGAATTGTGGGAGAAGCCAGAGGTATTTTGCCCCGACAGATTCATGGGAAAGGACATTGACTTCAAAGGGCAAGACTGTAAGTTCTTGCCATTTGGTGCTGGAAGAAGAATGTGCCCAGGGTATAGTTTAGGCCTCAAGGTTATCCAATCTAGTTTGGCCAATCTTTTACATGGATACAGATGGAAGTTGCCAAATGACATGAAACCTGAGGACCTGGACATGGAAGAAAGATTCGGCATTACTACACCAAGAAAAATCCCACTTGTTGCCATTGTTGAGCCTCGGCTTCCTCGTAATCTTTATTGACTATGATTCACTACGTGTATGTTTGATCTCCCAGTATCATCATTATCAACTTGTGTTCAAATAAATCAGCTCTGCAAGTTTAGAATTTGTAGCTGCGCTTATATGTGTTTGCCAATTGCCACAACGCTACAAAACCCTTGTAGTTGGTGCATGGCATATACGTAATCACTGAGATTGTTATGCGTATTGAAGTCCAAATTTGTTCGCAATTATGTGAAACTGTGAATAGGCACACCCCTGATGTTTCAAATACATTCTATAACACTCTGATGCTAATTTAAATCTGCAATAGTAGGTTCACAGTCAAAGCAATGTGCTCTCTGCCATCTTTCCTCTTAGCATCTTCCATCAATTCCTGTGCACCTCTAAGCCATGCCACTGGATTGGTGCTACTTTCCGTACTTGTTGGGAGG